AGACAGTAGTCAGTAATAGACATAGATATGTTTGTGAGAGTCTTTGCACACACAGACACAAAAAACCAGAAGGCTCTTGCTCTGTCTGATGTGGTAATAAATCTGAATGGGAAAAGGTGAAATGGTGATGAGTTCATGGCAAGGAGTAAAAAAAATAAGGAACAGTTTGCAGTTTAAAAACTTCTGTCAATACTCTAATGTTTTGTTCAAGCAATTCAAGTTAATTGTTATTCAAAATTCAAAATTAAGTAACAAAAATTCAAACACATAAAACAACAAGGTTAAAACAAAAGTGTGCTGACCTTTATACTGCATCCCTAGGTCAGACAAGCAAAATCCAGCCACGGTACATGCAGTACCTTAAACATTATTAGAGCATTGCCAAATGACAAATAGTCAGTTCAGCTTTGCTGAAAAAGTAGCTCAGTCACTGGCAGTTACAGTCTGGTGGGGCTTACTTCTGTAATGCAGTGGCTGTCACCACATAGTTCTACAAATAGTGCATAGCCTACTAAAGATCATGGTCTCTAGGTGAACAAATACTTTTACAGAAATCTGCATGAAATGTATTTGCACCTAAATACACATAAATAGACGATGTGCTACTGTACGTTATAATAAATAACTGTCAGTGACGGGGTGCGCTTTTTTCTTAGCTTGAACACCTGCCCCTTAAATTGTCTGTGCATGACTCCATTGTTGTTATTTGTCCAAACTGTGCTGAAAATGTGAACACTCCTATGGTTTAACCTTATTAACAACACACTATGGTGGGTGTAGCTAGGGTGAATTGCCTTAATGTGGGACATTTTTTGCATTTTGGAATGTATTGAGATGTGAAGCCACTACATTAAACCCACACCCAGTAGGCTGCCATTCTGAAATCCCCAGGATGTGTCCTAGAGAGACCAAAACAGAAAATGCAGATATAAGCCTTCACCTAATCTGACTGTTACATTAGTTTTTTTGTTTTGTTGGGATACATTATCAGTAAAATGTTCTAAGCCAATGTATTTTTTCTGCCAAAGTATCAAATCTTCCAGCACAAAATCCAGTTTTATGACTACAGCATTATTTAAAGCTGTATCAACTCTCACAACTCTTGGTTAAGGGAGAGCAAAAATGAAAAATGACATGGGAGCAAAATTCAAAGTGGAACTGAACTTGAAGTACTTGAAACAGAACTGTGCTTTATACTTTCACCAACTTCTCATTTGTTTTTTCTGTGTCAGTAGGAAGAATGCAATGTTTCATTCATTCAAAAGTTATATTGCATCGGAATACAATCCAACAGTCGATTACTGTATGTTCCTTACATACCATATGTATTTGCAGTTTAGAGACTGAACAAGTAGGCTATAAAATAGTAATTTGTAAGACAGTGCAGCATTATACAGCCGTTAAACTCTGATTCTGCCCCTTGTCTTTTAAGAAAGCTGTATTGACAGTATTGTTTTACAAAGTTCATATAACGGTGGGGTTATGACAGCAGCTGTGTGATATCAGATTTTAATGAATGTTCACAAACACCTTATCTCCTTCATTCTAACATACTTTACTATTATTTCTTAACGTAACCTAAGCATGGCAACCATGTTTAATAGATCTTTGACTAGAAATGTGAAACCAAGTGTAACAGGTAATAATTATTTATTTGGCGTAACCTAAGGATTACAGTCAGACAATTCTATTGTATGAACCGTGGCCTAAATAAAGACACAGCTGCTACTTCAGGCAGTCACACTGGTTTGCGTGTGGATGTGTTTTTGAGAACAAAGTGACATCTAATGGTGCAAATCAAAGAATAGCTCTTTAATGGACGTTTTAATGTGAAATCCAGATATGGTTTATCAGGCAACAGGAAAAGGGGGGTTCCTGGAAGGCTGCTGGGAACTACTCGCCAGCTGCATGCAATCTGAACGCTATTCTGCTGGGAAGTGCAATTCTACGTGGCTGCACCAGTAGGAGCTCCTGCTGATCATTGCTGTTTTTGCTTAAAATGACAACCAGCAGGGTCAGACCAGCTGTCACTGACAAATGATCACTCCATGACTTAAATTAATGACAGGACAAAATAAAAGTGGCTGCAGCCAATTGGCAAACAGACAAGACACTACCTGCTGTTAGCTGAAGATCTTTTATGAGGTAAAGAGGCATCACCCTATAACACCACTGAATAATCAAAGTGAACTGAGTGTTTCTCTGTCATTCAAAGAACTCCCACCGAGTGAGATGTCTTCCACATCTTCAGTCGATCTCACATCAGTGGTGGAAATGTAGCACATCAGTGTACATGCAAAGATCCGGTTATGAAGATCAGTGATCTGGTCATCTGTTACGTTAAATAATACATAACTTTCATTAGCTTTTTGCTTAGTTTTTTAATCCAAAGTACTGCCAGATAGGCAAAGAGGTACTTTTAGCTGCAGCACAGTGCACATTCTTTGCATTCCTACTTAGGGAAATATATTGAGTGCTTTGTAAACACATGACAAAGACAATAGACATTGTAATAAGTACACATATTTCATTTGAAAACAATACATAAAATACTTTATTCTTTGCTCTATTCACGTTTGCTACCTGATGGCACACAACCTAAAGCACAAAACTCTGTTTTGTGATTTGGTGATCATGGCTCAAGTTTCCTGAACTTGGTTTTCTCTGCTGTGAATGACATGCATAAAAGACCAAAATTGCATTGTTATCAAATTGCATTGCATTGCAACCAAGTTGTACAATTTTGTGGGGCAGACAGAACAACAGTCCCATCCCCCAAACTGGAGGTCTTTTGGGAATGGCTAATTTACTTGATTTTCCTTCAGTATTGTACCTCTTTCCAGTCCATATTTTGTACCTTAGTTTGTGCATAGAGTCTGTAGTGTAAGCATAGGCACTCTTGTTGCAAATAGCCACTGTGGGCCTGTAGAAGAGCTATTGTATAATAACCTAAGGCCTGTATACATGGCACTATGACCCACTGGCTTTTAAGCACTGGATCAGCCCCCAAAATGTATCACAGGAGGATAAAAAACAGTTCCCATACTAGTTTAGAGAAACTGATAGAGATACATTAGATATGTAATGTTTCCAAAACCCTGTTAAATTCCTGTAACAGAAGGTAGACTAAATAAAATACATCATGCTTGTGGGTTAACACTAACAGTGTCTAGCCTTGCCATGAGCCTCATGAGGACAGAAAAAAAAATGTTGGATAGATGAACAATCCAGAGAAAAGTTTGACTTAGATTCTTACATCAATATGTAAAGTTTGTCCTGAGGGTGGTTCTGGGGTAAAGGTCATTCTGTCACAAAGGGCCTTTTCTCTGAACAATGGCCATTTTAGGACCTTGAACTGGTTCAGCTTTATCAGTCTAAGCTGTACTTTGTTTGCCTCTGCTGTGCTTTAAGATCAGTGCTCACACGTTGGATGTGCACACTACACTCCTTATGTTTTGCATGTATGCTTGCTAACATGTTAGCGTTACCAGTAAAGCAATGGTTCAAAATTTTGGGAAATATGCTTATTCCCCTCCTTACAAAGTATTATAAGAAAACCGATTCCACTCTCAAATCTGTACACTACATATAAAACCACAAGGTTGCCAGGTAACCAATGGAGATGCCAGTTGTAAATGCACAGCCCCTAATCAGCAAAAATAGTAGCAATTAGGTACCTGTAAAATTGTTGCATTAACCTTTCTGGTTGAGTTCAGGCTCAGCACACCAGAGACAACATATTACTTAGTGAGCTCTACAGGTGTTGGTGGATGTATTCATTTTTAACTTTCAGCTGAGCCAAGCAAATCATTTCCCACTGCTTCCAGTCTAAGCTAAGCTTGAGACATGAGAGTGGTATCAAGCTTCTTTTCTAACACTGAGCAAGAGAGCCAAATAATGTATATCCTAAAATGTCAAACTATTCCTTTAGAACTAATTAGAATTTTTTTCAAGTATATTTTTAAAAAGTACCTGCATGCTATATAAACAATGAAAGAGTTGTTGGTCACTGTAATCATTCTTCCTGTCCGTACTGGCTGTGTAAACATACAGTACCTTTGACCTATTTTCTTTAGCCTCAAAGTACAACTGAAGCTGAAGGTCATTAGTTCATAACAAGATACTGTCACTCAAATACTAATATGTATTGGAGTAAACTAAAGAGAAACTCTGACTTGATGGTGGTGCTCCATAAAAAGTCATGGGAAAGTTGTCAGATTCATCCTTTGGAGAATGCAAATGTCTGTGCTTGATCAATCTGTGTCAACATATTGCACTCCGGAACAAAGTGTTGGACCAACAACTAACTGCTATCTGCATCTCTAGCACCAGGCCACTGACATGGCTGAAAACCCAGCAAGCATTTAACTATTGCACATAACCTCAATTTTAGTGCTTGCTTTGCAGTTAAATGACAGGTGATTACAGTCTTGTCCTGTGATTTCATAACATTTTCAAGTGTGCATAAACAAATATGGCACATACAGAATACAGTAATTTAAACTATTTATAAAACACAGAAGGATATAATATTAAAACGGTTGGTTCTGAGAATGTGCTGAAGGTTTAAGTCGTAAGCTTCTTTTAGGTAGGAGTGGTTTTACACACCTTTCTCAGGCTGTTTCATGTCATCGAGGTTTCTTTCAGCTCAAAAAAATGAAGAATTACTCATTTTTATACTTATTTCCCATTTTTCATATTAGATTTGGCAAGGATCTTCTTCATCCCCTCTATATCTTGAACATTTCATTTCGTCTATGTGTCCATTCTTCTCCTTATGCTGCCTGTTTGTTCAGACCTTGGTGTTTTCAAATACATACGCCCTGCTGTGGTAATTCTGTTCTGTTCCCTGATAAACTAGTGGTTAGGGTGCAGCGCTCTCGCCGCTGCTGCCTGGGTTTGAGTCAGGGTTGCGTCAGGAAGGGAATCTGGCATAAAACACATGCCAAATGTCAACATGCAAAACGTCAGTGTGACGATGCGCTGTGGCGACCCCTAAATGGAAAAAGTCGAAAGTGACATTCATTCATACGCCCTGCTGTGGTAATAGATTTTATGGGGTAGAAGAACATTCCTTATTTTTCATTCCTGTTTTGCTTCCTTCTTCATTTTTGCAGTCCATCCTGCTGTGGATGACCAGTTGCAGAGGATCTTCCTCCTGTGTTGTTTATACCCTTGCCTCTTCCCTTTTATCTCTTCTTATACCTCTATAGTCTTAAAGTATATCCTGGTATATATTGTGTCCAGCTGGCTGTGCAAAGCATGGAAGGAGGGTCTTTTAGACGGCTCAGCTGCCCAACAGTCCATCATGATGCGATAAATATTTGGAGGACAGCGGGTTGGACAGGCTAGCCGATGCCCAGATGACAGCAGCTCCAACACTTCGTTATTGTTTTTTCCTAAAGGGAGGATGTAAACACATGACATTTACCAAGTTCTTTAAACTTTTCTTTTGCAGGCACAAAATAAGTAGTACTGAAGGGATTTCACTGTGCAATTAGTCAGCATCCACAACTAAGATAACTAAGAGCTGAATTCCCTTACCCTGTGTGTGGCTCTTAGCTCCTTTGGCTTCTACTGAAAATCTTAAGTAAATATTCAATAACACACCATAAATATATAAAGTGCTCAAAAAATTAAGGGAACACTTGGTCATCAAGGTATAACACCAAGTTAGTGAAACGTCAGGGATATCAACCTGTCCATTGAGGAAGCACAAGTGATTGTGAATCAGTTTCACCTGCTTTGGTGCAAATGAAAGTGGCAACAGGTACAATGGAGAGGCAAAAGCAAGACAACCCTCAAAAAGGAATGGTTTTGCATGTGGTGGCCACAGACAAATGCTCTCTCCTTATCGTTCCTGACTGATTCTTCTCAGGTTTTGTGTTTTGCTAGTGTCCTTGTCACTGCTGGTAGCATGAGGCTGTACCTGCAGCCCAGTCAGGTTGCACAGGTAGTCCACTTACTCCAAGGTGGCACATCCATATGTGCAGTTGCAAGAAGGATTGCTGTGTCTCCCAGCACAGTCTAAAGAGCATAGAGGAGATACCAGGAGACTAGCTGTTATGTCAGGACAGGGCCATAGAAGGACAACAACACAGAAGCAGGACCAGTATCACAGTGAGAACCCTGCAGAATGACCTCCAGCAGCTACTGGTGTTCATATTTCTGACCCAAGTATCAGAAATGTCATGCTGCCTGTAACATCAGAGGATGCCCAGTTTGGTAGTGGGCCAGTAGGCATATCCTTGGAGGGCTGCACAGACCTCTGTCACAGCCAACAGTACTCTGACTGCTGTGAGGTACCAGGATGAAATCATCAGAGCAATTGTCAGACCTTACACTGATGCAGTGGGCCCTGGGTTCATCCTGGTGCAGGACAATGCCTGGCCTCATGTGGCCGGAGTGTGTAGGCAGTTCCTGGATAACAAAGGCATTGATGCCACTGACTGACCCTCATATTCCCCTGACCTAAATCCAACTGAGCACCTACGGGACATCATGTATTGGTGCAGCCAACACCACCAAGTGTCACCACACACTGTCCAGGAGGTCACTGGTGCCCTGATCCAGGTCTGGGAGAAGACCCCCAGGACACCATCCACCGACTCATCAGGAACATGCCCAGACATTGTGGGGAGTGCATACAGGCACATGGGGGCCATACACACTTCTGAATCACATTGAGTTGTTGTGATGAAATTCACGCAACTTGGATGAGCCTGTGATTTGGATTTTTCACTCTGATTTTCAAAGGTTTTCAACAATAATAATTCATTCAGATCCAATGTGTGATTTTGTGTTCCATTCATTTTTTTGAGCAGTGTAGCATTTCATAAAAAAGGCTCAGTACCTTCATAAGGCATTTTGCCACGTGACATCATCTCATACAGCAGCACCCCAAATGACCAAACATCTGATTTTACAGAAAACTGCTGGCGAAGTGCTGCCTCAGGAGCCGTCCACCGCACTGGGATCTTTGTGTTTCGACTGGCTGTATACACACTGTCCTGGGAAGAGAGATGGTGATGGTGACACATTTTTTCTGTAACAGTGCACTATTTATGACTCTCAAATCCAAGATTCCATTCCTATAAAGACAGTTTTTCTTCTTATTTATCCCCTTTTGCCAGATTCCCTGTGACTAGTGGGTTGGATGGTGGTGACTTTTCTTGTTTATCTAGCACTGTTGTAATAACACTAAACATCATGTAAACATGTTACTGGTGTTTCTCTATTAGACAACACTGTCCAGGTGTGACAACAAGAGTGGTGTGACAGTAGCAGATTTGTGTCAGTAGAGGCTTCCACTTGAATGTCTGTGGTTGTTTAGTTTTTGATTTAGAAGCAGTTATTATGGTGAAATTTATGGTAGAAATGCAGGTAACAGTGGCTAACGAGGTTAGTAGAGCTAATGCTGAAGACCAGAGCTGTCCGGAATCTGGAAACACAGGCTTGGAGTTGGTACGCGGCTCCTGTTCAGCACTGTGAAAGCTGACCAATCAGAGCAGACTGGGCTTTTCGGGAGGGGGACCAGGAGCTGAAACAGAGCGTGTTCGCACAGAGGAGAACATGGGATATGGCGCTACTGGTGCTCTGGGGAAACTAATGAGCTTTATGAATGTACAAGGGTGTAAACATCTTCTAGTAGAACCTTTAAATAACAATATAAACATGAAAATGAGCATAATTTCTGAAGCTACTATATTTGGTAAACCTGTATGAACAGATTTTTGGCCATTAGGTGACAGCAGAAATGAGCTACCAACACAATATTTACATGTTATCATACAGTCTAATATTCAGTCTCCTCCTAGCTATTTTTGAGTGTCTTAGGATGACAGTTAACAAGTTTTTAAAACTTTTCAGTGAGTTTTTAGAGACCCCCCCCACCCCCCATAGGTGAGCTGAAGGCCAATGAAAAAGTATGTAGAGCAGAGTTGGATAATGCAGAGATGGCCTTAAGAGTCTGATTCATCTACAGTAAACAATTGTCTCACAATGAATGTGGTAAAGTATTACCCACAGAACATTTAAGTCTGTTTCTTAGCTTTCATTAACTCTTTCAGTGTCATGGAAGCTCTATATGAACAAAATATTCATGATTATACACACACACACACACACACACACACACACACACACAAAGTAAATTATATTTGAGTGTTGCTCCATTGTATTGTACAGACAGGAGGACATCTGTCTTATATATTACATATACATGACTTTACATAGAAACAACAAGGCACACATTACATGTGTATAAAGAACACAGAAAAACAATTAGCATATTCTGAAAAGAGAAAGGGCTCTTGACAAATGAGACAATCATTATAACCAGTGTCTTTCTCATCTTTTCATACAGACACATGCATGTTTCTTTTTATTCCTCATGGGTACTTGCATTAATTTTCTGGAGACTTGCCCTAACCTTAAACCAAGTCATCACCCTAAAATGATTTACATCCCCAGAAAGAAAGGAGTCCCCATAATGTGAGTATGCAAACAGGTTTTGGTACCATAATGTGGTTAAGGCCAGGCGCGTGCACACACACACACACACACACACACACACACAGGCCTTCCCGCCTTACCTTAATAATTCGAGCCAGTCCAAAGTCAGCCACTTTACAGACCAGATCATCTCCCACTAGGATGTTCCTGGCAGCCAGGTCTCTGTGGACAATGCTTCGGTCCTCCAGGTAGGCCATGCCCTCTGCGATCTGACTGCCCATGTAGATCAGATGAGCTGATGTCAGCACATGACCTTCAGCAGCTGAAAACACACACACAAACACAAAGTTGATCAGTCAAGCAGGTGAGCAGCATGGATTTGTCTTCTTTCAATGCCTGAGCTATGATATAGATCCCAAACCATAGCATACTTACAAACACACTTTTATACAAGACAACAAAATAACACTAAAACCACCTTTTTGAGTTAGTGAATTGTATGTATAGAAACTTCACTAAAATGTCTGTTGATCTTGGCCTCAGTCAATAGCTTTTATTGCATCAGAGCAAAACAAGTTTTTCTGCCATGTCAACTTGTGATGTTACTACAAGCAAACCACGTGTTCATTTCCCTACCAAAAATCACTTGACTTCGGAGTCTGAATGAATGCATTTGTAAAGTGGCATTATTTTGCTCTTTAGTGTTGTGTTCACAGAAGCAACCATACAAAACATCTTTGACAAAAAATTACTCTCTAAAATCATGATAAAAATCAAGAAATAGACGATCAAGGAATTAGGATGTACTCACACTAGGCAACCTGTACTGTGTCCGAGCACATTTGACCCCATTTAAATGGTCATTTAAATAGTAGGATCACTCTGTGCCATGCCTGGGCACGACTCATCGTATGGTTCAGCTGGACTTGGGCACGGTATGCATCACTAACCATGCCCTAGCATGGAACACCAACACTGTGCTATGCCAGAGCGCTTCTCTTCAGCTACATCGGGGTGACATAAGTGTGCTTCAGCCCAGATTGTTTCAAGTGCAGTGTGAGTGCAGGCCAGCAAGGGAGTGGGGTGGGGGGGACAATTGTGCTTGACCACGGTATGAGGCAACCACGTCCAGTGTAAAAATGCCTTTAGTAAACTAAACTATGCATTCAGGCCAAACAGCAAATTTTGGTCAGCAGGTAGATGTTTTTGTGTTCTTCATTTACATTACATCAAAATGGCAGAAACTTTTGTTGAAAGAGACTTCAAACTCTGAGTACAAGAGCTAAATGTCGTCCAATATTGGGCGTGCCCCCTTCTCAAACATGACTAATGGCATGTAGAGTGCTTCAGTACAAGTACTTAAGTGTTTTGTTTTTTATAAACCCTGGTTCCCAGAAAATGCCCCAGTTATGGGTAGCAGATTTTTTTTGTTGCTTTTTAACACGTTGTGTTTTAGGAGTGAATGACTTGCATAAGACTCTTACTGCTGTGCAAATAAACAAACAGGTGTCATATCAGGAAAACAATGTAACTGAGGACCCAGTGATGTGCATGAGTATATTAATAGATCACAGTTCATTAAACACCATTAAATGCTCATTTTTCCATGAACAATGAGCTGAATGGATCATTTTCTACAACCCCAAATCAGAAAAAGAAAAAATAGTGACTCGTAAATCATCTATTACGTTGAAGACAATACAGCAGCACATTATCTGATGTGATCAGTATTATTGTTTGTTCAAAATAAACACTTGCGTCAATTCTGATGCTGTAACACATTCCAACAAAAGTTGTGATGGTTACATTTCAGGGCCAGTAATAAGGGAAAACAATGAAATGATGATTCCATTTGAAACAGGTGATGTCACAGGTGACTGCATCATAATCTGGTACAAATGGGCATCCAGGAAAGGCCGAGCCCTTTCGGAGCAAGGATGCGCCGAGGACCACCAGTTTGACAACATACAGTATGTGTGAGAAAATTACTGAAATGTTTAAAAACTATGTTCCTCAGAGAAATATAGGAAGGGATTTGGACATGTCTCCCTCTACGGTGCAGAACATCATTAAAAGATTCAAGGAATCTGGAAGGATTTCAGCGTGTAAAAGGCACAAGCCTAAGCTGGATGACCGAGCTCTCTGGTCCCTCAGACGGCACTGCATCAAGAATCGTCATCTTCTATAAGCGATATAACCACATGGGCTCAGGATGACTTTGGCACACCTGTGTCAGGCACTACGATATGAAGTGAGTGTTTGAACAAAGAATAAAACTGATCAAGTATCACATCAAATAATGTGCTGCTGGATTGTTTGCAATGTAATACAGGATACAAATGATTTACACATCACTATTTTCAGATTTAATTTTGATTTTACATACCGTCTCAGGTTTTTCTGATTTGAGGTTATAAGTAACATGAATGTAAGCATTGTTATGGTGATGAAAATCAGAATCAGAATCAAAGTCACCTTTACTGGCCAGGTGTGTTGGACACATGAGGAATTTGACTCTGGTACAGAAGCTCTCAATGTTTACATACAGTATATATCAAGAAGCAAGGGAATGTGCATTAGGAAAAGAGATTAAAAAACATGAGTAAAGTACTTATAGAGACCCGTACACACTGTGTATACATATACATATATATATATATATATATATTATGGCAAACGGCTTGCCATAATATATATATATGAATTCCACACTCGCCCCCCACTTAGGGGCGGTCTTGTATTCCTTCCTTCAAGCTCGGGTCCTCTACCAGAGGCCTGGGAGCTTCAGGGTCCTGCACAGTATCTTAGCTGTTCCTAGGACTGCACTCTTCTGGACAGAGATCTCAGATGTTGTTCCTGGGATCTGTTGGAGCCACTCTCCCAGTTTGGGGGTCACAGCCCCCAGTGTTCCTATTACCACAGGGACCACTTGTGCCTTCACCTTCCACATCTTTTCTAGCTCTTTTTTCAGCCCTTGGTATTTCTCGAACTTCTTGTGTTCCTTCCTCCTGATGTTGCTATCGGATTGCTACATCTATCACTATCTATCAGATTAGTGCCTCTGTGTTGTCTTTCAGTCCAGCTTTGTCCAGCCACTGGTAGGATTTTTTGATATCAGCCACTTCTGTTTGACTGTGGTACATACCGTGCAGGGGTTTGCCCTTCCATGAGGGTTCCTGCTCTTCCTTCCCTTGTTCCACTGGTTTCTGCTGTCTGAGGTGTTCACTAAGCATGTCATCACTCGGGGCCATCTTCCTGATGTATTCATGGATCTTTGTTGCTTCATCCTGGATAGTGGCTCTGACACTCATTAATCCTCAGCCTCCTTCTTTCCGCTTAGTGTACAGTCTCGGGATGCTGGACTTAGGGTGAAACCCACCGTGCATTGTAAGGAGCTTCCTTGTCTTGATGTCAGTGGCCTCTATCTCCTCCTTTGACCAGCTTATTATGCCAGCTGGGTACCTGATGACCGGCAGGGCGTAGGTGTTAATTGCCCGGACTTTATTCTTTCCATTTAGCTGACTCCTCAGGACTTGCCTTACTCTAACCATGACCCTGGTTTAGGTGCGTTTGCTACCCATGCAAATGTATCTGTGCGTGTCAGTACTCACAGGCAAGGTAGTTCTTGAGGCTTCCTTTGCTCATGAGCTCTGTCACAATATAGACCGGCTCTCCTCTGGAGCACATGGCCAACAGCTGGATCAGCTTTGGGTGATGTAGACTCTTCAGGGCCTGAACCTCTTTCACAAACTCGTCCTGCTTTGTGTCCTCTGGACAAGGAAGAGAAACATAATTCTTGGTGAATGTATTAGATTATAAATTACACTCCATTTTCAGTGATTTGATTATCTTAGTCAATTTTCTGCCCAGTGTTTCTTTCAAGTAATTTATCTGGCCTTACACATCTATAGTCATCTTTACAACCATGCCTGTGTTCTCCACACTTAATTTCTTAAACAGTTCCTCATTTCCACATTTTAAATGTTGAGTACAGAGCTATATATGAGACAAAAACTCAAGTTAGAAATCTTGGCATCATAACTGACTCAGCTTCACCAGTCACATCAAGGCCACAACTAAATCAGCTTTTTATCAAACAAAGTGCAAGATTCAGAGGTCTCATATCCAGACAAGATTTAGAGAAACTAAGTCGTGCCTTCATCTTCCACGCTGGACTACTGTGACCGTCTTTTGTCTGGTCTTCCCAAAAGAAAACTGTTAGACAACTTCAGCTCATTCAGACACTGCTGCCAGAAACAAAATCAGAACCAGGAGAACTGAGCACATCACTCCTGTTCCTAAACCCTTACACTGACTACCAGTTACCTACAGAATTGACTTTAAAGTGCTACTGCTAGTTTATAAATCACTCAGTGGTATGGGCCCAAAATACTGTACATTTCTGGTCTCCTTGAAGAATCCAAACCCAGCAGGGCTCCGAAATCCTTAGGAAGCAGTTGGCTGGTAGAACCTCGGGTCAGAACCAAACAGGGTGAAGCTGCTTTTAGCTACTATGCTGCACACAGATAGAACCAACTTCCTGATGACCTTAAATGTGGCCAAACTCTGCCACTTTCAAATCTCAACTGAAAACTCTGTTTTCCTGTGCCTTTGACTGACTGGTTTCTCTGCTGTACTTTTGTTTCCTCTGTTGCATTCAGGACTATTTACATATTATTACTGCCCTGGAAGTGCTCTACACTGATCCTGTTTTATCTCTGTGAAAATGAAATAAATAGACAAGGTCTATCACTTATTTAATGCTTATTGTTTTAATGTTAACATTTTTTGTTCCCTGTGTAAAGCACATTGAAATGTGCTATTTAAAGAAAGTGGCCTTGCCTTCTGTTTCTCTGTCCATTCAAGATTGACTTTTTATCATGTATCATATTGCACTGTGCTAAATCTGTTTATCTAACAAGTATTGGGCCAAAAAACCAAATGGTTTCTGTCATGATAACTGAGTTGCAAAATACTGACACATAGGAATATAAACTGCTGTTAAGTGTAACAGCATGTGATAAACCTTAAAACTGGACTTCCTGGTTCATATTTTTCTCAGCAGCACCTGTAGCAACACACCGGGTGCTACTGTGATACAGTGCTATTGTTTGTCAGAACACAACTCTAACAGCTACCATGTGTTCTTCACTGTTCCAATTTAAGGCTATGGAGAAATAATTTTACTAAGAGTCCAATCAAATCAAAATGTATTCCTAGAACACCTTTAAAACAACATCCGGTAGACCAAAGTGCTTCACAAACACTCAAAATCATAAAACAATAAAATATACAGTACAAGGTCATAAAGCAAAAGGATCAAAAAGTGAGAGTAGGTAAAACAAAGCCCCGGAAAACAGGTCTTGAGCAAATAGTGGCTTCCCTGTTTGTTTCTCATCCATGTGCACAAACATTGGGTGACATAATACTCATTCCTACCAGAGACTTTGGTAATGTGCCAAGAAATGTATTCAACAAAATCCAGAGCAAAAGAAGACTGCAAGGTGGCAGACTTGGATGTAAGCAATGCTGGTTTAAAAATGTTCAACACAGTACATTCATACCTTGTTTCAGCATCTTTATGGCCACTTTCCTGTTCTGTGTGATCCACAGAGCCTCCCACACCTCTCCAAACTGTCCCTCTCCGAGTCTCTTATGTAGTTTGAACTCCTCCCGTGGTCTCTCCCATGGCTCCATGTCAAATAGCTCCCGCTGCACAGAGATGACAGGGTGAATCCAGACTACTTTCAGATTCTTAAAATTGTTCAACACAAGTGGACCAGACTAGATATGCATTTTAGTAGCAACACCAATGGATTGTGCATTATTGTCTGACTAATCAGTTTTTAAATAACCTTTCACACTGCACAATAGAAGGTGTTGAGACAAACACAGACTGGACTTTGGGAAATTATGAGAACTGCTTAGTTGTAGAATTTGCATGATCTCTGCAAAATTTTATTGACAAATTTATTATCATTAACAATCAGGTGCTACTAAATAGTTTGTTGTAATGCTGATGTGCTTTGATAATCAAAATGAAATGAGCAGACTAATGAAATGATTCAAAGGTATAATTAAATAAAATCATGACTACTAAATTAACAGTCAAATAACAATTAGCCATCACTTATATATAAATAAGATACTACAAACTGACTTAATTTTACCTGTATATTAAAAATAATCTGATAATACAAAGCATGTTGCCTTAGCTTCATTGTTTTAATCAGTGTAAGATGCATTCAAATAAATTGTGACTCCAGCTGTAGTTTCAGCAAGGACGAGTAGTTTTCAGTGAGAACACCGTAACTGTTGCCTTATGTAGAAAAAACAAACAAACAAAACAAAAACTCAGACCACATTGTCCAAAACAAACTGAAATGAATATGGACATTCAAAATAAAACCAAATACATTCAGTTATATCCAGTATATCTCGGTCTTTACAAGATGACTTTTGCTCAGAAGCAGTTGCTGTTTGTTGGCACATTTTCACCATCATTAAAAAAAGGTTTTAAATATAAACATCAAGGTTAAGCAGATTCTTTCTTGTAATCTCACTTGAGTAAAATATTGTCTTTATACAACTTTAATAATGCCTTCATTTGTAATTATGGATGGCATAATCTTGGTAATAGCTTTCAGTCTGACAAACTTAATCCCTTGGGCTGTAACAGTCTACTGGGCATCTTATTGGGCATTTAAACAACAGGCTAAGTATGCTTTTGGAAACTTTAATCTAATGAATCTGTGTCCTGGTGATATAAACAGGGTCACAAATCATGCTTTAGCAGTTTTTATTGACTAATGCTTGACTACATAATTGCTGCAAACAAGATCAGGTGCCAAAGCAATAAAATGTGATTGAAAGAACAGTCCTTGCCCTTTTTAATGGCAGAACATTTAAAGGCTGTCTAATGCCTGTGAGTGCCTCATTTTCTAAAAGCAGATTTATTATGGTGCTTGAGTGCCTAAATAATCAACAATTAGACTGTGTGTAGATTCAGTGAAGCTGCTGTAGGGTGGCTGTTGATAACACCAAGCTACATATAAATAAGGAAAGAAGCCATTTCACTGAGGTCTGAATTAAAAAAGTGAACCTGTTCCTTATGTCTCCTGAAATTCAGAGATACTGAATCACCAAATACAACATTCAGGGTTTAAACAAAAACAAAACATTTTGGTAGCTCTTCACAGCTTTATACACATGTTGAATTGCATTTCTGATGGTTTGACAAACAAGTATGAACAGTCCTAAGTTCAACACAAACAGTGAACTGATGTTTGGGGACTTACACCCATCAACCATAACATTATGACTGCTGACAGGTGAAGTGAATAACACTGACTATCTGTTACAGTGGCACATGTCAGCATGTGGGGTATATTAGGCAACAAGTGAACATTCAGTCCTCAAAGTTGATGTGTTGGAAGCAGGAAAAACAGTCATGCATAAGGATCTGAGTGACTTTGACAAGGGCCAAACTGTGGTGGTGAGATGACTGGGGTCATGGACGCCCACGGCTCACTGATGATGAGGTTGACCTACTGTAGATTAAACTTTTAACTTCCATTTGTATTATAATGGATTTGAATCTTTGTTAAAAATGAGAAATGCTGTACATTGGTCTCTATGAAGAGAAAGAGTCAGGGGCTGTAGTGGTGATATCACACCTAGAGTGGTGAGGCTGTTGGATTTGTCTCAACAATTCTCTCTAACTCGTCCTCATGAATAGTTTTCACTCCTTTTACATAAGTTTCTCACTGAATTGTAGACACATTCATGCTCTTCCTGACAGTAGAACTGTGGAAGCAAATGGATTCACAGAAGATGCACAGTGAGCCACGGAGTGACACGAGTGCCAACCAACTGTCACATTGACTCCTATGTAAACTGTATTAGGCAGGTGGTCATAATGTTATGTCTGATCAGTGCAAGCATCTTACAGGAGACTAGAAATGTACATGCTCATGGATTACATCAGCTCAGTATGTTGCAGCAGACTCATGAAATGCAAAAAACATGCCTAAAATCATCACTAAGAAACAATATATTAAATCTAATGCTTTTGGTTTGTGCTATTAATATCTAAAAAGCTTATAAAATTGTTTTAAAGCAAAAACAATCATTCAGTGAAATGAGTGGGAAAATGATTCAATGAAATCAAAACAAAAAGTGATAATTCTGTAAATTGTGCAGCTGTGTTCATTCACAGCTGTCTGTTAGCTTCCCATGTATTGTATGTGTGTTTCACACTTGCATTCAGTTTTTGTTTGTATTTTTTCTGTGTGTTTTCTGTAGTGTATGTTTGCATGTCAAACAGAAAAAATCATGCACAGAATGGCATTGCATTCGTCAAAGGGAAAAAAAAGGGAGGACTTGCAGTCAAGGCTAAAACTATTAACACTCCTGCATTTCTGTCAGATAATGCAGCACTACTCTCAGAAAACTATTGCAATCACATATTCTTTGGTATTCTCATGTTTATTTCTTTTGTTTGCATTGGAACAACACACTATGGTAGGAGACCCAGGGGGCCCACTGCTGACAAAGAAACATAAAAAAGCCAGACTGGAGTTTGCAAAAACTTACCCGAGGAAGCCACAGTCCTTCTGGGAGACTGTCCTGTGGACAGATGAGACTAAAATAGAGCTTTTTGGTCAAGCACATCATTCTACTGTTTTCAGAAAACAAAATCAGGCCTTCAACAAAAAAGACCACGGCTTTTCGTCCCTACAGTCAAACACGGTGGAGGATCACTGATGTTTTGGAGTCTCTTTGCTGCTTCAGGCACTGGATGGCGTGACTGTGTGTCTGGCATTATGAAATCTGAAAGACTACCAACAAATTCTGAGGCACAATGTAGGGCCCAGTGTCAGAAAGTTGGGTCTCTGTCAGAGGTCATGGGTCTTACAGCAGGACAATGACCCAAAGCAGACTTCAAAAAGCACCGGAAATGGTTTCAATGAGCTGGAGAGTTCTGAAGTGGCCAGCAATGAGTCCAGATCTAAATCCCACAGAGCAGCTGTGGAGAGATCTCAGAGCAGCAGCTGGGAGAAGGAATCCTTCAAATCTGAGAGACCTGGAGCAGCTGGAAGAGAAGAGTGGTCCAGAATTCCAATAGACAGGAGGAAGAAACTCACTGATGGCTACAGGAAGTTAGTGATTTCAGTTATTTTGTACAGAGGGTGTGCTACCAAATGTTAAGTTGAGGGTGTCAATTCTGTCCAGTCCATTTTTGGAGTTCTGTGTGGAATGGATCACATTTGGCTTTTTTGTGTTGTTCCAATGCAAACTAAATAAATAAACAGGTGAATACCAAAGAATTTATGATTGCAACAATTGTCTGGGAGAAGTGGTGTGTTATCTGACAAAAATGCAGAGGTGTTAATATTTTTGGCCATGACTGCTAATTACTGCTAATTATGACTTCTGCAGATCATGTTAAGGTAAGGCCTACAGTGCAATACCTGATCTCATAATTATGAGATATTGAAGTCATAATTGCAAAACTAGGTCTCCAATTGTTTTTCCTTGGTGAGTGAAACACCTCAGTACATACATTGTGTGATGAATCTCAGTTTTGTGCTGTATTTGCACATGTGCTTATCATAGATGTTCACAAATCACAGAATGGGAGTGTGAGTCAAATCTGAAGTCTCAAATGTTTTCAACATAATATGCTTAGACCAAGCACATTTTTCCATTTGAATAGTATCCAGTGTATTAACAGTTGATATAGACAACTAAATGCGCCAAAGAACAGGTGAGCATTCCTATGGAAGCTCAGTATAGATGTTAAAAGACATTTAACCATTATTTGACACTTAAGACATCAAGCTATTCTGTCATAAATCTTCAGTGTTCCATAATAAGCAAAACCATTTTTCCCCTAACCTAAAATCGACATACATGTATAATGATTTCGTACATTATTCTCGCCGCTCGGCGCTAATGACTCCTGACTTCGCCAGTCGGAGGTCACTAAGATTAATGTTAAGTCGGTGTGTAACTTCGCTAAAACAAATCTAGAAATCTGGACGCGTTTGTTTTACAACCTAAATTATGACAACCCAGAGGAGTCCAGGACACAGGGTCACAGTCTTACACGCCTCTCTGCTGTCTCCTTGCAGCTGCTACCCACCCAACGCTCCCAGTACCCCATAGAGACTGTGTCTGCCCCCCGCCCACCTAAATTATATAAATCAAGAATCAACTCCAGAGGAGTTATTCATAAGAACCTAATTAAAATTAAGATGACTCCTCTTATAGTAGAAAGTAATAGGACAATCAAATGTGGACTATTAAATATCAGATCTCTCACATCTAAATCTCTGTTAGTGAATGATTTGATAAGTGAACATCACATTGACTTATTGTGTCTTACTGAAACATGGTTACAGCAGGAAGAATATGTCAG